CGACTCTTCCTTTTCACGGCTGCGCTCCAGGCAAAGACAGTTGCATCCAGTCCATGGCCTTCCCTAGCATCCCCACTGAGGGAGAGAGATGGGCAGCATGTCTTATGACAGAGACTTTTTTCCCCTGCCTTTAAAGCCCACCTATGGGCACTCCAGGACTGAGGGACAGGTCTGTGGTGCTGTTCTCACGAACACACGAGAATGCTACTTTTAGAAGATCCTAGTCTTTTGTAGTCTGCAGTTTCATTTTGATAGACTTCTCTCTCTCTCTCTCTCTCTCTCTCTCTCTCTCTCTCTCTCTCTCTCTCTCTCTCTCTCTCTCTCTCTCTCTCTCTCTCTCTCTCTCTCTCTCTCTCTCTCTCTCTCTCTCTCTCTCTTCTCTCTCTCTCTCTCTTCTCTCTCTCTCTCTCTCTCTCTCTCTCTCTCTCTCTCTCTCTCTCTCTCTCTCTCTCTCTCTCTCTCTCTCTCTCTCTCTCCTCTCTCTCTCTCTCCCTCTCTCCCTCCCCCCCCCCTCCTCTCTCTCATGGGAAAAGTCATTCTTGCAAGTACAGAAGCCAGAAATAAATCTCGCACTCTCCGAGGAAACGGAAAAATGAGAAGCCAGTCAAATAGTACGTGAGTTTTTGTTTTGAACTGATTGTAGTAGTTCCCATGTGGGACAGAAAGAAACGGGGCCCAGAGTGGCTTACAGGTTGTTTTCGTAGCAAGACTTTGAGATGGTGTTGCCAACAAGAAAAGACCAGGACGTCTAAAAAGCGGTGGCCCACGGGTGTGCCAGTGAAGAGAGGGGCTCCCGAGTCCTGGGGGAAACAGACAGTTGGAATCGAGCTAAACAGTGCCTTGTGTTTCCTGTCACATTGTCCTCTACTTCCTGACAACCACTGTCTGCAGAGACTGGCCAAGCTTGAATCTGTGCTGTCAGAAATAAATACCGTGTAAGCACCGTGTCCCTTTGCGTGCGTGGAAGGAAGCGGAGAAGCTGGCGTTGTCTTCTTTCTCACACTGTCAGCAGAAAGGGAAAAGGACCCTAATTTGTCGTCCTGGCTTCTCATCCGGTGTGTTTGACACCATTGTCAGTTGAGCGCAAAGCATGTTTCACTTACCTGTTGCTGCCGGAGGCATTATGGCCCGTGGTGATCTAAGCCTCCTGTCCACCAGGCTTTGATTACGCAAAGCAGATAGCTACAGTGGCTTGTGAGCGCTGTCTGCGTTCAGGGGGCTCTGCTCAGAACCTCCCAGAACACAGAGCAGCAAAGATCAGCGCCTTAGCCGCAGCAAGCTCTAATGTTTTAGCTGAAGGTTACAAGGACGAACTAATGGTCGTTCGTAGGCAATGATGGCCGGACAGACTTACGCGTTAGCCGTCTCTCATTCACTGACAAGGAGACTGAGATCAGGAAAGGCTCAGTACTGGACAGAGTTGGAAAGGTCTGGCTCGGAGCCAGCTAGACTTGAAGCTTTAGGGTCCCAGGGCTGGCGTGATGGTTTAAAATATTGTGCATGAAATTCCAACCATGTGACATAGCCTATGAAAGTTAAATAGAATATGCTAAAGAAAGAAAGGTGGGTGATTTGGAGCTGTCACACAAGAGTTAGAGGAAGAGTTAATGGCCGGGATGTCAGAATTTAACAGTGAGTGGAGGAAGCCGGACAGTAAACACAGCCAGACATACCCCTGAGGCAGCAGCAGCCTCGTTGATTCAGGAGGTACATCCTGAGCAGCAGAGGGCAATTAGGTTGGAAGGACTTGGGAATGTGGGAGGGGAACTCGGACTTTGATGTGATGGGGGACTTCTCCACGGAATTAGTGACCCGTGGAGGTGAGGTGAAGGAGAGAGCGCGTTTGTACCCCAGAACTAGATAGTGGCCACGCATTGCTGTCCTTGTGTGTGCCGGCGTCCAAGCAGGTTAAGCACCGAATTAATCACACTAGGCTAGCTCGTGTTGCTGTTGCAAACGGACCTGGAATCCCGGGGCTTAGGTGCACATGTGGATTTCTTGTGTCTGTACGGCACAAGTAGGTGGGGCCCGAGTAGGGTCCTGTCGCACTCAGAGGCCTCTCTGCGGCAAGAGGGACATACTGCCAGAGCGTGCCTCACTCTTCTCTCACACACAAAGCCAGGAGTGACATGTTGCTTCCCCCGGCTTGTGGGCCAGCACTAGTCTCACACACATGCGCGCACGCATGCGTGCGCACACACACACACACACACACACACACTCACGAACTCACACACACACCCCACAGGGCACACGTGCAGAGACACTGGCGGAGTCTCCTTCAAGGCTCTCTGAGGACATGTCTGTCTGTTAATGGGGAAAGTGAGGTGATTAAAAGTGAGGCCCAGAGCTCAGAGCCTGCTCCCTACTGACTGAGGCTTTGGGCACTTGTTCCCCACTCCCTCGGGCAGGGTTAGTTCTGTAGTGGGGAGGTCAGGGGTGTTAAGCAGTAAGTAGAACCTTAGGGTGTAGAGCTCAGTGGTAGAAGACTTGCCTAATGTGCTTGGGGCCCCCATTTTCACTCACACACATTCACACATACACACACACACTCACACACACACACACACACACATTCACTCCAGTCCCCACAGAACGAGCGTGGAGCTTGAAGGAGCAAAGGTCTTTGAACAATATGCTGCGTAGTAGTTGGTGGTCTGGATGGCTGTTAGTGTACATGGCTGTTAGTGCAGACGGCTGGTTTTCTCGGTGACAGCCTACAGAAATGCAGTCTCCGACTCCGGCTGAGACTGAGGTAGAAGAGGCAGGGGTAATGTAGGTGTGCAGCCGCCAGCCCGCTGCGCCTGGGTGTGACGTGGGACCACGAGAGATGAGCCGAGGAGCCTACGAGGAGAAAGCTCCAGCAAGGGTCTCCTCACCGCGTCAGCTCCCCCTGGGTGGAGGAGGGTGGGTGAGGTCAGCAGAGGTGGACTCTGCAGAGAAACTGCAGGCTGTTGTGAGGCGTGGAGGAACTCGGTCCTCAGCACAGAAAGCCTCGGGAGGGGGGAAGCCCGGGTCCTACCGAGAGAGGACTGGAGTGGTTCCCGGTGAGCGTGTTCAGTAGGCGGTGGGTGGATTGCTTCCAGCCAGGCTGCCGTGCAGAGATGTAAGGTTGAGCCCAAATCCCGGCTCTGTCCTCCATGCGCCCTTGGCGCCTGGTCTCCTCATCCACACAGTGAGGAGTTTACATACACAGCAGCTGAGGAGTTTACACACACAGCAGCTGCGCAGGTGTCACTAAATGCTTGGGGACGTGGTGTGTGGTAAAAGAGGAAAAGTGTCCACTGCTAGTCTATGATTTAAATGAATGGCTGTGGGGTTTCAGTCATTTCTAAGCTTGTACGGAGCTCCCATTGTTAGCAGTTCTAGGAGAAGCTCGTGTGGCCCTGTGCGCACAAGGCTGGGCCTGTCCCTCCCTCCCCCTCCGTCCCGCTCCCTCCCTTTCCCTCCCCCTCCCTCCCTCCCTCCCTTTCCCTCCCTCTCCGTCCCCCTCCTTCCCCCTCCCTCCTCTCCCCTCCCCTCTCCACACTTCTCATCTGTGAGTTTTCCATTCCTCATTCTTCACCAGAATATTTGATGAGCAGATGCTCTTAGCTCTGCGGGGAACAACAAATCAGGGCAGGCTGAGACGTTACCAAAATTTTAAGGTCTAAGTTAAGGTGGGTGTGTCTGTGCACTTTGTATGCGCCTGGTGCCCCAGGGGCCCAGAAGATGTCATCAGGTTCTCTGGGACTGGAGTTAAAGAAGGTTGTAAGCCTCCGTGTGGGTGCTGGGAATTGAACCTGGGTCCTCTGGAGCACAGCCAGTGTGCTCTTAACCACTGATTCATCTCCCTAGCCCCACATTTAACAGATCTTAAGCTGAATAGCTTTGAGAACTTTTAAATTAGCTGAATGACCTCTTCAGAAATAAAAATGAGGTCACAAAAGAGGAGTGAGATTATCCAAGTAGCTGCCCACTCCCCCTCACGGGTTTGCCATCTCCATGCAGCGAATACCCAGGCGTGGCGGGCGGCCAGGTAGGCCACATCCTTTGTCGTCACGGAGCGCAAAAGTTATCCAGCACCACCCTTAAGCGGCAAGTCGGCTTGCTGGTAAAATGCCAGGAAGAAAAAGGGAGGCTCTGGCGGCTGGAAAGAGCACCGGCAGCCTTGGCATGGAGAGCCGGTGCCCGTAGGCTTAAAGCCACGCAGAGTTGAAGCCAGGCCTCCTGGTCACCATTTTACCAGTGTGCTGTAGGAGACAAGATTGAGTCCCTTCTCTGTGGTGAGGTGGGGGGAGAAGGTGGCAGTTTAACTGGTGACAGAGCACGTGGCACCCGCGTAAACCGTCCCAGTACACACGTCCTGGCCTGATTAGCAGCCTGCTGGGATCAGTTGTGAGGCAGCCCACTGGCCCTGTGCGTGATGACCTGGGTGTGCTCCAGTGCGGTCATAGGACTAGCTTGCCTTAAGGGCTGGGAGAGTAAGAAGGCTGCGTCTGGTTTTTACTAGTGGTTTCTCTCTAGAGATCTGGCTTAGCCACACCTGACGAGATGCAGTGTTTTGTTCTCTCCACCCTCACCTGGGAAGCCCATAGATGGGGCAACAAGGAAGGGAACCAAGACCCAGACTTCCACCCGCCTCCGCCAGACCAGCCCTCTGTTGTCAGCGGCTTTAAGACTGGATGGCTCTGTGAAATTAACCTAATTTGTACTTTAACTGTACTCAATATAGTTATGGCAGTGATGGTTAAAATTAATTTCCCGAGCTGTAATCTCAGCATTCGGGAGGCTAACACCAGCAGTTTTATTTTCCTTTGGAAGCAGGGGCTTGCTGCACTATGTACGTAACCCTAGTACAGGCTAGGTTCTGGCTGTCAGCAGTCAGCCCGCCTCAGCCGCCCAAGTGTTGGGGTTACACATGTGTGCCCGAGGAAGGGCTTTAGTTACCGAAGGCCTGCCTGGGATGCATAACGAGTTCAGGGCCAGCCTGGGCTGTGTAATAAGCCTCTGTCACAAAAGACAAAACAAGTTAATTTTATTAAAATAAAGTATTTCCAGGGCATACACCACAATAAAAATTGAAATTGTGACTCACTGTATAGTGTTTTATTTCTTTCCTGTTATCTAAATTGGTATCATTATCAGCTGAGATACTGTGCTGGGGGAATTTCAGGGTTAGAGGAAACCGAGTTTGATCAGACAGACAGTATATAGGAAGGCTGTGCTGCCTACTTTAAGGAAGCCCTGTGAGCAGGTGTATAATGTTACAAAGAATCCCAGTGGGATAGATATTGTGACACCATGGTCCCAGCACTAGGGAGGCAGAGACAGGAGGGTCAGACACCAGTCCAAGACTAGCCTGGCTACATAGAGAATCCCAGGCCAGCTAGACTGACACAGTGGTTTCTCTGCACTGTTTTGAAGGATGTCCTGGAACTCGCTCTGTAGGCCATGCTAGCCTCGAACTCACAGAGATCCACCTGCCTCTGCCTCCTGAATGCTGGGATTAAAGGCATGGGCCACCAACACCCGGTTTGACACAGTCTCAAAAAAGGAAAAGGGTTTTGTAGAGATGGCTCAGTGGTTAAGAGCAGAGACTGCCCTTCCAGAGGGACCACGTTCAATTTACAACACTTCCATGGTGACTCACAACCGTCTACAACCCCAGTCCCAGGGGATCTGACACCTTCTTCTGGCCCCTGCAGGCACTGCTCACACATGGTACAGTGATTTACATGCAGGCAAAACATCTTTACACGTAATAAATTAAAAAGGAAAAAAAAAACTAGCCAGGCAGTGGTGGCACACGCCTTTAATCCCATACTTGGGGAGGTAAAGACAGGCAGATCTCTGAGTTCAAGTCCAGCCTGGTCTACAAAGTGAGTTCCAGGACAGCCAGAAACCCTGTCTCTAGAGCCAAGAAACAAAACAAAACAAAAAAACCCTCTTAATTTATAAAATATGCCTTTTACTTCCTGACATATTTAGGCAAGTATGGCAATTATAGATGTAATAATCATCACTGCCCCCACTTTTTATAACCTAATCTACAAGTATATAGATGTCATATACTACCAGTTTCCAAAAATAAAAAAATAAAAACAACCCCTAGAGACCCAAGGAAAACAAAGCGTGTGTGCATTTTTTCCATCCTAAAAGGAGATTAGCGTGCAGACACGCTTCTTTCTGAGCAGTGGGCCGCAAGTCTGTCCTGGCTGTTGGGGGAAGAACTTGATGTTTCCAGTCATTCGGCCATCACCATGCTTGCTGCTCCTCAGACCCACCTGTTGTCAGTTGCACCCGCCACTTCTGGCAGTGGGCAGTAGCCTACTGACACTTTCGCTACATCCCGTCTTTTTTTTAATCCCACAAAATATCCCTTCAAACAGTTGCCTCAGAACAAAACAAACAGATAAAAACTAGGGAGGTGAGATCTAAAGTTTGAAAGAGGTTTAAATTAAGAAATGTGTTCCCTATATTACAGTTTTAACATTGTTTTTTTTTTTTTTTACACTGGTAATGTATAGTGGAATCAGCCTTTCGTCTTTTGCCAAACTATTGGCAGAAATGGTAATGTCTGTGTTCTTAGGAACACAGAACAACGGTTTTTTACAATCGAGACTTACTATGATAGCCTTCCTTTATATACACAGTATTTTCGTTTACGAAGTAGAACTTGCTTTTGCCGTTCTCTCGAGCTGGTCTGGACCTCCATGCGCCGGTTGGTGGGGGGGTGGCAGCAGGCTGCCGTGCCGAGAGGGGGCAGCTGAGAGGAATCCTCGTTGGGAACCGAACAGCCGGCCTGCAGAGCCCCCACGCGGGTCGCCGTGCTGTGGAGTCCAGCGTACCGTTACCCCTTACCTTCCATTGGAAGCCTTGGAGTGGATCATCATCTGCGACTCCGTCATTTCTCGTGAGTTTTCTTCAGGGGCCGACCTCACCGCACTGGAGACGGACACGCTGACCTGACGTTTCAGCATCTTCATGACCTTCCTCTTGTACCCTTTACATGTAAAGAAGTATATGAAAGGGTCCATGCAGCAGTTAAAGTTCATGAGGCACACCGTGAAGTGCAGAGAGATCTGGAAGGAGTACCTCGGGGCGCACGCCAGGGCACCGGGGGAACAGAGCTTCTTAATCATGTGCTGGATGATTGATATGTGGTAAGGTGTGAAACAGAGAATGAACACGACGATGATGAAGACGATTGTGTTGAGAGCTTTCCTGTTTGCCCCAGATTTCTCAGCCAGCGGGTTTTGCCTGGCCGTCTTAAAGAGCTTGCAGCAGATTTGAGAGTAGCAGATGAGGATGACTATGAGAGGCAGCACGTAGCCCAGCAGGCACCCTCCGAGCAGAATCCAGGGGAGGGAAGGCGTCTCTTCGAAGTTTGGGTACTCCATGCAAGTGGTCCTGCCAGCCTCCTGCTTTGACATGGGTGTGATGAGCAGAGGCAGGGTTTGCGCGAACACTAGAATCCAGACAGACAGGCAGACACCCTTTGCGTATTCGACCCTTTTAATCTTGTTGTAGCGCAGAGGGTGCACCACGGCAAAGAAGCGGTCTATGCTCAGGCAGGTCATGAAGTTCACGCCTGCGTACGTGTTGATGTAGAACAGCAGGGCAGTTACCCTGCACAGGGCATCACCGACCCTCCAGTCAAAGCCTAGCGCATAATAGGCTATCCGTGTGGGTAAAGCGGTGGTAAACAGGATGTCAGAGATCACCAAGTTCATTGAGTAGAGAGTGGTTGAGTTGATTTTCTTTCTGTTTTGAACAATGACGACCAAGGCCAGCAGGTTTCCCAGCAGACCGACGACGAAGACCAGGCAGTAGTGCAGAGGCATCAGTACCCTGGCTGTGCCGTGGTGGGCATACAGGTCACAGCTGTTGCCCCGAGAAGCGGCCAGTGCCGTAGTAAAATTGCCAGCCATCTCTGCGTCCAGCAGGGGTCAGAGTCGCTAGGAAGAAAGCAGGTAGGGACTGTTTAGGTAAAACTATTTAAACTCAGCTAGTCGTTTATACATCTACTTTAAATTTTTCAGCATGTAAATCTCAACTGGAATAAACTGAGGGAAAAAATTTATGTGTTTGCTTTCACAGTTAGTGGCTTTGTCAGAACCCCGGCAAAGGAGTCAGAACCATCTTAAATAGGTCAGCTGCATTTTGGCGACGAGAAGTTCACCGACTTTAGGCAGAAATCCCCCCTTTTCTGAATCATTGTGTGGTTAAGAATAAAATCATGTAAAGTACCCTACAGTTTAGACAGGCATTAAACTTGGCTTTTAAGTTGAATTTAGGTTGAGCTTCTTTTTTTTTTTTCCTTCCAAAATGCGTATCACTACCAGGAAATGAAATCAGTGACACACGCCGTGAAGTATGAACTCACCGCAGTTTCTGATTTGTGTGTGAGCCCAAAGAGCATGAGAAATAATCTTGGGCTCTGTTAGGAACTGAAAGTTACTCTTTCTTAAGAACAAAAAAATGAGAAAGAAATAGTACTCTTAACTAAAATGAAAAAAAGAGGATGAATGTAGTGGTGCGTAACTGTGATGCCAGCTACTCTGGAGACAGGTTTGAGGGCAGCTGGGACGTCTCAGTGAGACCCTGTCTCAAAATGAAAAAGAAAAAAGAGTCAAGTTTAAAGGGGCCGTCGGAGCAGCTCGGCAGTAGTTACTCTCTTGCCTTCGTGTGTGCAGTTGTTGGGGGTGTGTGGGGCCCGGGGACTCAAGCAGCTTCAGATAAGAAATTTTAAACTGGGCGTACAGTAGGTGTTAAATAACAGTAAGATAACATGATGTGACGTTTTGTGTCTTGCCTTAGTAGTAAATGAATCTCCACGGCAGTGCAGTCACCTGTTTTTCCATGTCTGGGTTTTTATGAGGCATCTGACAGTTAACTCCACGGTTTCCCAAAGTGTTCATTCAGTGTTCTTCAGTACAATGTGCGAAGGCACGGTTTAGGTAGCTACTTCTTCAGCGCACATTTGAGTTGTTTAATTTTTTTCCCCTCGGTCATAGATAAAGCTAAGACAAATTTCAAGTCCCAAATTGGAAATCTAAGCATTCTGGCAGTAAAATTCCCTATAGAAGAACGAGTTGCAGTAAAGGTGGGAAAACTGAGCAGTAAGTTCTGTGATTATATTTTAGAGGGGAAAAAAAATCACGTGGCAGTCACCAGTATTAAGGGAGCCTTCGGCATGCCCCTCTGGCTGCTGTGTTTCAAAGGAGAAGTCCTCTGTCAAGACCGACTGAGGGTCCTGGCTCCACTACGCTGGCTGCTTGCTGGGCTGGGTCGGGCCTCTCTGTTCCCCCCACTGCCAGCCTGGGAAGAGGGGTGTCTACTGGCCCCGGGCTCTGCTGTGGCGTGTGGCATCAACAGGCTACAAATAAAACCTAAAGCAAAACCGAGCAAGGCGAGACGAAACATCTCGTCTCCCAGAGACCAGAAAGGAAACTGATAGACGAGAGGAGAGAATGAGGGCGGAAATTAGAAAGTCCTAACGAATGTTAGCGGATGGAAAGGTTCAGAATAAAGCCGCGGGGGGGGGGGGGGAAGGGAGGGGGGACAGATACCATCCAATCCCCCCTTCCCCGCACCGAGGACAGGGTGGGCTTCGATCAGAACATCAGAAAGAAAGGAAACTCAAGGCAGCTTCGGTACTCATAGGAATATAGCCCACACCTTTGATCCCAGCACTGGGGAGGCAGAGGCAGGCTGATCTCTGTGAGTTCGAGGCCAGCCTGGGGTGGGGTGGGGTACAGAGTGAGTTCCAGGACAGCCAACACAGAGAGAGACCCTGTCTCAAAAGCAAACAAGAAAACAGAGTTTTCCACAAAGGATATAAAAGTAATTACGAAATGTGCCTGAGCTGTCAAAATTTGATGTAGTTTAAGGAAAAATTAACAAGTCCACCATCATAATGGGCAATCCTGTGTATCTGAATATCCCGGAGAAGAAAATGAGAGGCCTTGAAGATTTAACGTTGGTAGACTATGTATGGAAGACACGAGCACGTCTCAAACTCAGCCATATACTAGGTCACCAGGGGAGGCTCAGGACACCCAGAAAGTCGTTACTGAGCAGTTTACACAGTCTAACTGTAACACAGCAAAGGTAGAGACCAATGGGAAACCAATGAAGAACGAGTTTGGAAATGGAAACCTTTGAATTAAAGGAAACACTGCACTGGAAATTTTTGAGATGCTTAAAATGAAATAAAAAAGAAAGATTGAAAATAGATGTCAGCCGTACAGCTTGAGAAGGCAAAAGACTGAATTGGTCCAGCAAAATCAGAAGTAAATAAAAAGACAACCGTGCAAACAGTGAAATCCAACACAGTGTAAACAAAGACAAATACGGGCGTCATGGTTTGTGTAGGAGTAAAAATGCAGAGGCTCTCTCTCACCTTGGAAGTGAAAGGAATATAAAGGCAGGAAACCACTCACTTATGTAGGAAGACTAGGAAGGCCTGTCTCTGTTGTGTTCAGGAAGCCAGGCTAGACACCAGGAGAGTGTGGCTTGACAGGGCTTGTCTCTGAGGAGAGGGCACCAACAACTCTGACAATTGTTTTTCTAAATTCTGTGAGAATTTCTCCCCCTGAAAATTTCACCTACCATTTTCAAGGGTGTTTTTTTTTCCAAAGCAAGTTCATGGAATCCGACCTTAAAATAGATTATAAAGGGGAACAATGTGCATGGAGTCGCAGAATCTCCATGTTAACCACTACTGCAAAGATTAGGAGAGCCACCCCAACACACGAGAGCTTTTAGCGACTCCCAGGTGAATCTTAGATGTGTCGTAGCGTCTCCTACAGCTAAAAATGGGAGTGGTTTCAAAGCAGCTCAGATGGGGGAGCATCCAGCTCAGCGCTGACTCAGATACAGGAACGGGCGAGCCGCTCCCACTCTTTCAGTAAGGGACTTGTAGAGTGCTTTATGGTTCAGCCATGCTGCAGAATGTGAACACAAACGCACGTGTGCACACAGGCACACACGTGGACAGAGATGCCTGCTTGGATATCACACACGCCAGTGAACCACACTGTATGGGTGGCGTGGGGATTTGTATCCCTAAAGCCTAACTTTGGACTGAAAGTGGACTGGCTGAAGTAAGGTAATGATTAATTCAACTGGAGGAAGAAGGGATTAAAGAACCTGGTCCCCCCGACTCTCTTCAGACTTAACTATGCCTGCCCACCTTTAAACTGTGTCTGGCAAGACTGCATATGGGCCTAGGAAGTTAAAGGCCACGCTGGGCCCTGCTCCGTGGTCCTCTGTCCAGTCCCTTGTAGAGGTGGCTGTCTCCCCAGCCCTCAAAGAACTGAGATATTGTGGTTTCCGAGTTCAGACAGCAGCATGACACACGCGGTCCACTTCCCCCTAAGAGGCAAGGCCGTGCGGGGCCGGGGCGTCGTAGCTGACCACTGTCAGCCCTGAGCCAGCCAGAGACAACACTTTTAGAGTATGGACATGTAGACAGCATAGGACAGAAAGCCGCCTAGGTAAGGGATGGGGATGACTAGTAAATGTGTTCATTTTGGATACTTTGTAACGCCTGGGGATTGAACCCACAAGGTAATTGCTACCTTGCAATTATCCTCAATCCTCAATACGTTCTTCTCTGTGTTCTCAATGCTGTAATTTTAGGAGACTTTATCATCTCCTCCTTGAGGAGAGAGAGTCCTTTTGTGTCCTTGGCTGCTGTTATCCAATTCTCAGGCCAACAAATCTCAATTTTTTTGTGTCCCGTCAGAGTTAGAACTTGTTCCCCTCTTTGATCATCTTCTGGGCTGCTCCTGTGAGGCTTAGGCTAGCAGACACCACTTTTCGTGGTTTTAGTCTACACACGATAGGTCCTGGGAAGGCAGGGTGACACCTTTTCTGTATCAGGGGGTCCAGAACGGAAGGGCAGATGTGCAGTGTCTCGCTGCCCCTGGCATCTCCAGTCCCGACTCAGCATTGACTGCTATACTTGCCATGAATTCCATGTGCCCTGGTTGTTGTTGTATTCAGTATGCCTGCATCAGTCCCAAATTCTCTTTTAATCATTCAAAGTATAACTTGCATTTTAATGCACTTTACTTATTTTTAATTGTAATTATTATTAGGCAACAGCTTCTGACATGTTTGGAATACATATATATGTATATATATATACATACACACACACATATATAAACCTGTGTGTGTGTGTGTGTGAGAGAGAGAGAGAGAGAGAGAGAGACCTGAAAGTACTATGACTTGTCACTGTAGTACATGGGGAAGGCCCACAGAATGTGTCCTAAATCTGTTTCCTTTAGAGCACTAATATTTATAAGAATTACAGTTCAGTGCAATGCTTTTGATGAATTACACACTTGACTCCACCTCCCACATACTAAAGGACAGGAATCAAGATGCTGACATCTTTCCCCCAGGGCATAGACAGTAACTAAGCTGCATAGAATGGAATTTTCCTTGAGTGTTGACCCTCCTGAGGAACAGGGCATTCCCCACATTATTCACCCTCTAATAGAAACAAAAGGGGGCGGGTATCGTTCTTACGTTCCCAGGACCTAGTGTATGTAGACAAAACCCAAATGCTGAGAGCAGTCTGTTAGAAGTGTGAAAAGGACAAAAGGGCATGTCTCCCTCCCAAACTTGCACTCCTCCTGGAGATGGACCCCTGGAAGTCATCTTGTCTGTCTTATTTTCTTGCTAAGCAGCAGAGGCAGTTTGCTCTGTCTCTGTAACATAGCATTTGGTCCTTTAGTTTTGCTGTTACTCTAATGTATGTCACACACAGTTTCTTCTTCAGCAGATCACCTTCCATAGTGTGTGTGTGTGTGTGTCTGTGTGTCTGTGTGTGTGTGTGTGTGTCTGTGTGTCTGTGCGTTTGTAAAATTTATTTCCTTGCCTATAGAGTTGCTGACATTTCTTGAGATATTATCATTTCATCTTTGCATAACCAGATATGTTGACATGAAATGACAGGGTTTTTTCCCCTAGCGAATGGTCCCCCTAAAACTCACTTATTAGTGTTTAAGAAAATTGCCTAAGCTCTGATATAAATTGTACTCAGGAAACATTTACTCTGAGGGCCAACATGAAGGCATTTGTGAATTTTCAGAGGCCACATAGACTTCTGCTATCCAAATTCATTTGCTTGGATAATTAGAGGGCTCTTTTTTAGTATTTACCCATGACAGAAACATAGCAAAACCTTCACCGTAGTCAAAGATTTGGTTCACATTAAATTAATAGCCTTGGGCTTTTGGATTGTTGAAATGTCACCATCATCTCCTATGCTTATTCTGAGAATTGTCAGTGCCTTGGACCAAAGTGGGGGTGCCTTGTTACTTTGGCTCTGACATCGTTTTGAGCTTTCATGTTAACCTTGGGAAGACGGGGTTGCACCGAGACTTTGGGCAGAGGGATGACTTTGCTTGCGTGTGTGCCAAAGAGGGAGTCAGGCAGTGAAAAACAACCAGAGTGTCTGGAGGCACAGGCAGAGATCACAGCTGTGTGTATTGTCAAGTCACACATGATCCAGCTCCTCCCCTGGTTTTGTTGGCATGCTTTTAGCTATTTTCCTGAAGAAAGATGAGGTTGTGAGGTGTAAAAAAAAATATATGCTTAGAGTTGGGGGAGATAAAATGAGTGGAAAAGGAGGAAGTGGGAGACACAAGGAGGGGGTGTGAGGACAGGAGGACATCTTCCTCTAAGGGAACAGAGAAAACAGCAGCCAGTAGCTGAGGCTGTTACAATGCCCTCGATGGCAGACTTGCTCCCTGGAAGGAGGACATCACTCCTTACGCTTTCTCTGATCACCTAACTGCATTTGCATTTGTCAAGGCTTCTTTGACCTTATGTAGGCAGGGACATCTGAGTATAGCCCGTGTCAACACCTGGAGCACCGAGGTCAGCCTTTGTTCCCCTTTCAGGTGGCTGAACAGCTGCTGCCAGGGCAGCTCGCCTGTAAATGGGCAGGTGGCAAGTGTTAAGTCCAGCTTGCAGAAGGGATGCCGGATTCCGTTGGTCTGGTCGTCCATCCCCATGAGCTGGTCATAATCAGGACATACCGCAGTGACCTAGCTGAGTAAATCTGCTACTGAGTGATCTCTTTACTGTGCAGTCATTTTTGAATCCCGACCCAATGCTGTGTCTCTGTCTGTTGACGGCTGTATCCTTCCCCCAAACTGAACAGGACGCATTGAGTGTATTCAGGGTAGAGTTGAGCATGGTCAGCCTGTTTGAAGGGAGCTCACTCTCTCTGGCTTTTTAAGTGTGATGAGTCAAGGGGCCAGGGCGATCAGCTCTGTGACACTGATGCTGCGCCTATGACATAGTCTGCCCACGTCCAGCCTTCAGGAGGTCTGCAGAGGGCCACTGACTGTTAGTTGCCTGTTAGAGCCGATGGGGAGTGCTAGGTGGCTGGGAGGGCTGTGTAGCTGAACACCCACCTACACGTCTGGGGGTTGGAGGTAACCCAGATAGTTTTCTTTCACCTTTCAGTAACTATTCCTTGTGTGGCTTTTTGGCAGCTTTAGTACTGACTATGAAAGTTATTAAAGGTAATGATGTCAGGTGCAAGTCACTGTAAGAATTTAAAGGAAGGCAGGTGCCCCGTGTTTGCCTCTGGCAGGATTTGTGGGATCTTATATGAGGGATCGCAAATTGACAGTGGAAAGGCCTTTGTAATGAAGGCATGTGTGCCTAGAATTACTGCCCCGAGTTTAGAGAGCTTCTAGGAATGGCATGCACTTTGTGTGCTGAAGGGAGTCTTGTGCTCTAAGTTAAGCTCCTTATTTTGTGGCTGTGGTGAATGAAGGCTGAGCCCAGCCATTTGCTCAGGGTCCCTCAAGGTAGGAATCTGTCCTTCCCCAGTCACTGGGTCTCTCCCTCCAGCCCCTAACCCCACCCTGTGCCCCCCTGCACCACAATGTTTGAGTCCTTATCTGCCTCCCTGTCTGTGACCTTGCTGTCTGCAGTCCTTCCTCTCTACTCTGCACAGTGACCTGGTGGCCTCTTCTCTTGCGAGCCCTTCAGCTGGGGCCTAGAGACCGAGGACAAACAAAAGCTCGCCATCACTGTTTCCTTCTTCATAGTTCCCTATTCTCTATTCCTCCGGGTGGCTAGCCATCTTGGTTGTCCTCAGTCCCTGGGCATTTTTTTCCCTTCTTTTTGCAAATCTGTACCCCTGACACTCTCTCCCTTTCTTATCCCTTAACTCTGCCCCTGGAAGCTTCGTCACCTCTGCTGCCCCCTCCCACCCTACTCCAGGAAGGCACAGTGTTGTTGGGGTTGGGGTTTTGTCTCACACTCCTGTGAAGGCCGCAAGAGTGGGGATGCAAGTGGTAGTTTTTACACCCCAGAGATAAAAAAGAATGGCCTAATCTCAGCTGCCCTAGTCCTTGCTGGAGACTTCCCTGTTAGGGACGGGCAGTGAGCCTGGTGAATAGTCATGGCCCCTCCTATCAGCCTTGCAGCCTCTCAATGAAGCTGGGGTGGGAGAAGCCACGATGGCTCAAGTCACAGCTGTAGCTGCTAAGTTTAAACTCACTCTTTGCCGCCAGAAAAATCACATTCAACACAGGACGTGTTATCCCTAGTTCCTGTTTCCAAGATGAGGGTACAATGGGTGGAAAGCGAGTCAAAACAGGAAGGGGTTTCAGAAATTTTGACATATACCTACTTATTTCTGTCTGAGAATGAGGAGAGTGATGGGTGGATTTTAATGAAGCAATCATTAATTTATAGCATGTTTTAAATTGAATAAAGGAGAGTTGAGTATTTGGGGTTTGGTTTTGTTTTTAGGATAGGGTCTCCCGCACTCCTGGCTAGCATCAAACTCTCCTGATTCTGCGTCTGTCTCCCAAGTGCTGGGAGTGCAGCAATACGACCACATCCACTGACTGAAGATTTTACACACGAGTTTACTATTTTTAACAGTGTTTCAGCAACAAAGCTTTGAAAGCCAGCATAGCTTGTGTAGTGCTGATTTACCTTCGTACTGTCTTTTAGGGCTGTGTGGGTGTCTGACAACACACTTTCTCTCCTCTTTGGGCTACCAGCACACACAAGAGAATTCTGCATGTGTGACCTGGTCTCCTAAGCACAGCCAGGACAGCCAGGACACTGCCCATCTCCAGTACCTCACCTCTTAACTGTGGCAGAGAGAAGGGTCTCCCTGCAGATACCTTCATTTATTGGTCTTTGTGGGTACATCTGTGTACATCATGGACAGCTGCAGCCTGACCTACAGTGACTCTCTAGTAAATGCCTCCTTGGAGTCCTGGGGTGAGCTCAGTTGTCACAGTGTTTACCCTACTGGGTGACTGATCATGGCACTAAATAACTCTAGGAAGCCTGGCAGAAGAAGCTTAGAAAAGGACTTATATAATACCACAGCCACCCACGTACAGAGTGAGCATGTGAGCGAGGCAGCTTGCGGAGCCATGCACTTCAGTAGTTTTAGGCTCAGTAAGCGCCTTCAGGCCCCAGAGACAAACACTCTGAGATACTAGAAAGCGCAGTGTGATCGTTGGTACCAGAGAGTCTTCACATAAACCGTTACAGAAAGTAGACATGTTCAGATAAGTTCAAGAAAATAGTTTGCACAAATAATGATAGGGCTTCATCCCTCTGTGGGTCGGGTCAATGGGCAGGGCCAACATGGTGAGCCGGTGTCCAACACTTGCTATTAGAGGCGGTGCTGGGAGAACTTGGCAGGAACATTACTCCCCACTTTACGAATGAAGCCACTAAAGTCAGTGACTTTCAGCAACTTGTCTGAAGCTAAGCAGTTATCAATAATGGATCCTAGGTTTGAGGATTGATCCCAAGCCCTTTCGTAACTGTTACACTCTACTGTACTCAGGGTGACATCAAAAGATTGAAGGCTTAAGCAGGAAACACCACCACACCAACCAAAACCCCTCACTCTCCTTGAGAGGAAGTTCCTTCATGGCTCATGTTTTGTTAGACATTTTTGTAAAACCTCCGCTCTGACCCTGGAAACCAAGTTTTTGCAAATCACTACATAAAATTTTTTATCTTGTGATTTTTTTCTTTCAAAATTTCTAGAATGTAAATGTTGAGACTTATTTAGCATTACTGGTCACTTAGTAATAGAAACCAATGACACAGATTTTATTTTTTCACTTAATAATAGTTGGTGTTTCTAAGGATTTTGCTTCTGAGGCAGCAAACCCCAGGCTGATCCCAGTCATCTTTGCTGGTCGGAGAATAAACTGATAAAATATTTTTGCAAAGCAGAAAATACTGTTCTATATTTGATGCTTTAGAAAATAAGCCCCTGGCCCCAGGAATTCTACCGCCGAGGGTCTCTGAGAAATATTAGATATCAAAAAGACTTTTCTGCATATAAATACATGCCATGAAGTCAAATGTAATGGCTTTTTAATTGGACTAACTGGTTATATTGTATATAAAATATATCCAAATGTAGGAACACTATTTTAATAACATTGTTCCTTTCCCTTTACATTAAAGAACCCTGAAATACTGATGTTACTTTCCAACGTTTACTTTGTATTCTGAATTCACATTGAAGTGCTTAAATGAGCCCTATTTTTTATAACAATGTTTCATTCATTACTTCCATCTCACTTAGTAGCTAATTTGAACTAATAACCCCAAAGCAATCTAAGCAGTTAGTTATTTAATACATTCTTTTCTTTCACTTTTACCTTAAAGTTGGGCTCTCAAAGTATCCCTCAAAGAGAAGAGTGTCCGGTACTCACATGTCAGCTGGCGGCTGGGGACTCTGTTGCAGCAGTCCAAGTCTGCCCAGACGGAAGTCAGTTAACTGGGCATGTTGCTTTAAGGGAGACTGAGCAGGCGTCCCTTTATAGCCCTTTTCCTGTCGTCCTGTGACTGAGCGTAGCTATCAGCAGTCAGCCTCACAAATTCGTGCGTGCTTTTTTTTTCAAATGGGAAGTGAGATTTTTTTTTTCTGATACCGATTTAAGAAAAAAAAACTATTCAAAAGCCCCTTGGACTTTGAGAATCGCTGTTATCTATGGAACTTTTAAAATTTTTCCATAAAGATTTAAGTCTTCAATTTTCTTGAAGTAATAATCTTTAAGCAGAGAGAGAGAGAGGTGGGGTATAGTCACTGGTGGCTTTATGTTGACATTTTATGTGAAGTCTGAGTTAAAAAGTGTCAAGTCAGATAGTGTGCTGCTTGCCTGCCTGTAGCCAGGTCTCCTCGGGGAGGGAGAAAGACCCTCCTAGCACAGAAGTTGATGGTGGTTTCTGTCAAGGGTGGCCTACCGAATCGGTGACTGTGGACGTAGAGCCGGGGAGCACATTGCTGATGCATCCCACCCTTGGCACAGGACGAGAGAGGCCCGCTCTGCGCATTGATACGCCCCATTCATTCCCTTGGATCCAGCGGGGTCCCACAGAGCGCGCACCCACAGCAAGCCAGAGGGTGGTCGGTCACTCTTGTCCACCTGTGATCTGGCCTGTCACACGGGGGAGGGGTACTGTTGGAAGAACAAAGGCCACGTGGGCTGGGCCCAGGGTGGTGGAGGACCGAGGTCTTAGGACAAGTGATGACATGAGCTGAGAATGCTCAGGGTTCAGAGTTCCGCAGCCCTGTCTTCCTGCTTAGAGAGGGGGTTTAGAGTGTGTCCAGCAACCATCCCTAGCCCAGGGAATAGTAGATTGGGTCAGTAGAACAAGGCTCGGGGGCAGATCTTCAAGTCCAAGGAGAAGGTCAAACGCAAAGTGGGAAATACTTTGTTTAAAATGAAATGTGCTATTTTTTTCTTTTTTAATAAGTTGCAGGTGAGCTGGTTGATTTTTGAGGAATGAATGCTATAGAGAGAATTGAGTCATTTTGGTAGGAAATGTTTGTTTATTCATTTATTTTTCATGTGTGTGTTTGCACATGTGCCTGTCAAAGCACACATAGGAGATCAGAGAACAACTGTTGGGAACTGATTCGTCTCCTCCTCTACCCTGTGGGTCCTGGGAATTGAACTCTAGTTTCGGGCTTGATGGCAAGTTCCTTTACCCACTGAGCCATCTTGGCAGCCTCTCAGAGGCGGAACCCTTCTGGCTCCGGGATCCTGGGGAAATTGTCTTTCAGAGGCTGCGTTCTGATTTGGAAGACTCCGGGAAAGTTGGATCCATCATCTTTTTTTAGGCAAGACGACTGGCCCTGGGTTCACAGAGATCCGCCTGCCACTGCCTTCTGAGTGCTGGGATTAAAGGAATCTGCCACTGTGCCTGGCGGACCCATCCTTTCTTTAATACAATAATAGTAGTCTTGTAAGTACATAAAGGAGAAGCAGTAACTCGCAGATGCTGTTGTAGTCACAGCTGAGATAACCCACTGGGCTTGTTTTGTTGTTGAAATTACGGTGGCTTCTTTGACTGTGCCCATGCATCCCAGTGGAGTCAATGTCCCATTCAAGTGAGATTGACATTTGTGTCAAGTGTGTTCTTTGTTCACTCGCTGAAGTGTGATCAGGAGTGTGTAGAAGGCAGTTGGTAACTGGTAATGACAACAGAAGAATGAATCAATTATTTACTAACTCATTTTCTTCTCTCTTCTGTGCCTCTTAATTCATTCTCTTAATTCATTGCTTAAGAAGTTAGCTGCTGACCCAGCCACAGCCACTCGGCATGACCTTGGGACAGGTTGTGGGATCTGGACTCTGCCTTTTGGGACCACGTATGCTTCCCCCCACCCCGCTGTTAGAAGCATGTACTCAAACCATGCAAGTTGCTGCTCATGCTTCCTTCCTTATTGCCCCCAACCTCACCTTTTTTGCTTGCTCCACAGGGTTATCCCCGCATATTATTGTAGATGTTTTTCTTGCGCACAAGGACTACTGCGTCCTTGTTGTACTCGTGCCCAAATTGACTGTTCGCCCTGAATCTGATTTATTGCCCCAAAGTGATCCAACTGTGACTCTCTCTCGCCAAAAAAGAGAGCCGGTCACCGCCCTCACATTAGCCATATTGGTTGGTCTGGGTGCAGCAGGAGCTGGCACAGGAATTTACTCCCTAATCCACACAAAGGACTCTGTTAATGCTCTAACCCGCACTGTTATTAGAGACGTAGATGAGCTAAAAAGAGGTTTAGATTACTTAGAACAAACTGTTGGTTCCTTAGCTGAAGTGATACAACAAAACCTTCGCGGTCTCAACCTCGCCTTTTTGCGGGAGGGGGGAGTTTGTGCCACCCTTAAAGAGGAATGTTGTTTTTTCAAAGACAAATCAGGATTAGTTAGAGACAGTATCAGAAGAGTTGAACAGAGTCTGGAAGAAACAAAAAGAAATTTGGATCAAAGTGAATCTTGGTACAAAAATTGGTTCTCTACCTCCCCCTGGCTGTTGACTTTGCTGCCTAGTTTGTTAGGAACCTTTATTGGCTTCATGTTACTTATTTCCTTTGGTCCTTGGGCATTTTGTCGCCTTACTGGTTTGGTTAAAAATCAGGTTGATGAGGCTACCAAAAATTCAGTTCAGGTTCACTATCAGCAGCTCTCTCAACAAGACCCCAAAGAACCTGAGGCTATAGACAAACCTACATTCCAACCTTTGAGCTTTCAGGAGTTTGAGTACCTGGCCAACCACCTGCGTTCACTCTGCTCCAGGCTGTGGAGATGCTTAAGACGGGGATAGTTTGGTGCCAGAATCTGGGAGCAAACATGGCTCTCTAAACATTGCCGGCAAAAACTTAATTCGTATCCTCTCTCGCCATGTCCAGAACTGGAAGCCCACCAGGTAACCTAAGCCAGGCACTTCACCCAATTGCTCTCTTCTTTTACTATATAGAAAAGGGGGAGATGTTGGGGACTGCTAGAACCTTGAACAAAATGGAGTGTGTCAACCATTTCTTGGCCTTTTACCTACATGACTGCGAGCACACATGCCCTTGAGACAAAGGAAAAGGCTAATCATAAAAGTTAAATTTACTCAGGGCAGCCCACCCGCCTAGCCAGGGGGAAGTAACCCTTATAGAGCAATTGTCTTTGTTAACAAAAGGTTAAAGTGTTCCTTTGAATACTTCCTACCCCTCCTTAATTCCTGCACCTGACTTATGCTGACAAGCATTTATGGAATGTGACTGATGGAAAATTATAGCTTTGTCTTTACCGTATTTGGTGTATATTTGAGTTGAGACTTGATTGGCATGCTTGTACCCCCCCAGATTCTTCCTCTATAAGTACCATCACACCCCAAAAATAATGATCAGCAAAAGTTGTCTTGAGCCTGCTTCCCTTAACCTCTTGAAATTTACTTTTAAGATCGGATCTGTTTGTGAAGGCCCACCAAATTAGTAGCGACCCTCATCACCTCATCCCCGCGGGTCGGGGGGTCCCCTCCGGGGGTCACAGTAAAAGGTCAATGTGAGTGGTTGTTGCCAGTGTAAAGAACAGATGTTGTCAGAAAATATGGAAAAGGGGAAAACTGGTCAGTGACTAACCACATTATGGTATTCTGTGAAGCCTTGTGTATATAGAAATAGCAACACAAAATTTCTACAAAACAACCCCAATGGTCCTGGTTTAAAATGTGTGCCTTTGCAGTGTTTCTGCGTGTGGTCTAGTGTTTAGTCATCGTTTGAAATGACACAGCGATTAGTGTGTAAGGAATTTCTGCACTTCTTCTCTTGCTGGATAAGGTATGAGATGTGGGCACTGAAATTTCCATATTCTTTTTTCCTGGGGGGCGGGGATTGTGTTGAATGTGACCTCAGGCAGGCACTGTGCCTCAGGATGCTTAATAACATTGTTTATATTGCATTTGTTGATAAGTGTAAATATGAGAGCTTCTGTGAACTGAGAACATATGTTGGGTGTGGGGAGGCTGGGAGGCAGAGAGGCCACTCCAATGCAGTTGTCTAACAACGTAGGGTTTTATTGTTTTTAAAGGTTTTTTTATTATTTTAATTTATATGTATGTGTGTGTCTGCGTGAGTGAATGCTACATATGTGCAGGTGCCCATAGAAACCAGAACAGTGTGTGTGATCTCTGGAGCTAGAGTTGCAGGCAGTTGTAAGACACCTGACATGGGTGCTGGGAACTGAACCCAGGTCCTCAGTAAGAACAAGCACTCTTAACTGCTGAGCCATCTCTCCAGACCCAGGAAGACTGTGTGTGTGTGTGTGTGTGTGTGTGTGTGTGTGTGTGTGTGTGTGTGTAACAAAAGGCAAACTCTGCTCTGCTGCTCTACCAGTTTAAGGGAGGGTGTGTTGAGAATGCTCAGCTTCAGAGGGTAGGCTGGACTGACAAACAAAAATGGCCGAGGTTGAGCAGTGAGATCTCAGTAGGCAGGAAGTGTTTACTACCAAGCCTGTTGGCCAGATTTCAGACCCCGGGACCCACAGTGCAAAGAGAACTCCCGAAAGCTGTCTTCTGACTCCCATACACGTACTGTGGCACTTGTGTCCCCTCCCTCACAATAATAATAATAATAATAATAATAATAACTTCTAGATGTTTATTTAAAGGCCAAAATCCCCGTCCTTAAGGGTCTCTGGGTTTTGTAGCTGGGAAGAGAAGTACTACTCTAATTGGATCCCAAACTGAGAGGCGACAGGTCTGAGGAGAAAGATGGCCAGAGCAGAGAACACAGAGTAGGACTGCACGCTGGTGGTCAGCACCCGGGGCCATGTTTGATTGGGAGGCAGGGTGCCCTTGGGGGTTTTAAGCCTACACAAGACTCTACCTTGTTCTCCTCAAGGGAAATAAATCACGGGCTGCTCAGTCAACTGGTCTAGGGTTAGGCAAAATACTGTCCTGTGGAATGGCATTTCAGAAGTTGCTTTGTTTTTGTTTTTTAATCCACCCGGAACTGAGTGTGAAGTCCTTGAATCTGAGTCTTCGTCCCCCCCTACAGCAACATAAAACCAAGTCAGTTACGATTCTTTCTCTTGGGCTTACA